AAGTTGATGGATTGAAGTCCACACAATTTTAGATCCATGCCGTAGCATTTACTTTTGTTTTTAAAAGTACATTTCATTAGCTGTAGAACTGATTGTATTCTGCCCATCTCACTATTTTTACTGCCTTGAAATAGCCCAGTTAATAGGCTCAATGTTAATGCAAACCTACACACAAATACGCACTGATGTGATTGCCTCCTTCTAAAAGTGAAGCCACTTACAGGCTTTCATAAAATAGGTTTGAATTTCACATCATTGGAGAGCTTTGTTTCTCTTCATATTCAGACACATGGATCTGGCTCTGTTTGTATGTCTCTTAAGCAGCATGCAAATTACAGAGATTTAAACTGCACTTGAATAAGAAGTATCAGTGAATTCCATCAATTTCAATTGACTTTTACCAGCCTGAATGAAAGGAGGATCAAGCTCCTGCACTTAAGTAGTTGAAAATGACAATATTTTTTTATAGCAGCTAAACTTTCAAAAAGGTATTTTCAACCCATAATGACACCTAGCTCTCAAAGTCTATTCAGTTTTATGTACACTATTATTTCTGGAAGGTTTCCTGAGGGCACCACTTGTTCTTACATAAACATTTGTAAGAAAAGCAGTTTGTATTTCATATTATAGAGACAAGCAGAGATAGTACAGACCTATTGAAAACATCACTTGGAAAAAACATCATCATGGAAAGTACAGTACATCTTAAAACAACTGAATGTTACTTTACATTCATTACACATTGAAACAAACACAGAATTTCTTCAACATTTGTACATGTACTGAATACATAACGCTAACGCGAGCTCTGTAAGCTAACAGCTATTCTTCTCGCTGCTTTATTCTTTCCCAAAATACCATAAATATCATTAGGTTCAATGTGACACGTACTCAGTGTGAAGCAACCATGAAGATAACAGTGTCTGAAATAATGTATTCACAACATTATCTTATAAAAAGATCCCTCACTTTCCCTACAACCTGAAATTTGAAGTAAAATTTCCTTCACTGCAACATTATACGAAGCTTAATGTTTATCTCTTGGAAATAGTGACATTATTCTAAAAATGAAGATTCTGGAAGAAAGTAAGATTTTTAAGTAAGAGTGAAGTATGCATACTAAGTGAAAGTGAATACAAAGCTCAAAGGACCGTAACTTAAAACATGTCATTAAAATGTCCTATCTATCTTGCCAAAATTACATGGTTTTCAAAATGTGTTTTTTTCAATGTTTAAATTTAGAAAAAGACTTCAGAAAAACCAGTAAATAATCCCATATCCAATTAATTTCATCAAACAAAATTTTGAAAGAATATTAAGATTGCAGATGGGAAATTAAAATTAGCTATTTATGCAGTCATCATCTTTTACAGATAATTTCAACCAGTTTGCTCCTATCTTTGTAATCAATTATAGCATGTGATCTTGTTACCTACCTTAGACATGTAAAAAATATTAGGAAATTCTACATTTTCTGGTACAAGACAGAAATTTTAGATGATTCTGAAGGTTTAAATTACTACATATCATAAATATTTAGTACATGCTTTTGAAAACTCTGTAGTTAAGTGACTCACTTAGAAGCAGCCATTAAGCATGAGCTCTGCTTTCAACAAAAAATATTACTTTTTTCAAAACTAGTTTAAAGGGTGACACAATTACCCGTGAAATTAGCACAGCTGAACATACAGGTGAGAAAGACCCACCATTTTTCATGCACATGATAAACAGTATGTTGGTTAAGTGCCATTTAATGTTTTCCATTTTGGCTATGGACCTTAGATCTGATTTATGCATAGCAGTACACAGTGTTCATCTGCATCCACACATATCTTAGGTTTTTTAGGTATAGTTAGTTGAAGAAGAGCACTGCTATAATCTTTAGTATCATACCTCAAACACCTACTTACAAGCAGGCCAAGCTGACATTACACAAAGAACCCTGACAGAATAATGTCTCAGCCTCTTTAAACATTAATCTTTCCATTTTAAAGTTCCACTGACACAGTGTTATAATGAGATTTCTGCATCATTTCAAGGCAAAAGTGGTAAAACCCAGCAAAACCATACAAAATGGAAAACTGGCTAGAAACCTGCTGCAATGTCTTAGTACAGCCTCAGAAGATGGACAGAAATGAGCTCCTTTCCAGAGCCTGCTTCCCTCTCCACAGGTCTCTCATCCACTCTGCAGAGAAAACTATAAAAAAGACAGACCTCTACATTTCCCTACTAAGAGACAGTTTTAAGATGGACTGAGGAACTCCTACTACTTATCTGATAGGATACACTACTTCTACCATCAGTGTTGAAAGTGCTTTGCATGTTTTAGACTTCTCGTGAAGCAGGACCAAGAGGCAGCATTTTGGCAGTGTACATTCAAAGAAATTTTAGGGAGTTTATGAAAGACATACATGAGTAGCTGTTTCTGTTGGGGTTCTGCAATTCTTTCTCTTTGTGAGAAATACGATTTTAAAGACATTTCAGAGAAATTTAAGTATTTGCTTAATTACACACATATAATGTGCATTAGTTTGAGAGGAATTTGAATTGCAATTCCTGTTACCTATATTGTTGTGTACAGACTCATATTCTCAAATTCACAAGACAGTGTGAAATTCAGTGGGCTTATTTATTTACGAGTGGAAAATTCCGCCCTACCCAGAGAAATACTATTTCTCTCTTTTTCTCTCTGTGTCCCCACCCACCTCCCCCCTTACTACATGTATGCTGAAATTAACCTTTCTGGTTTAAAATATGTAAAAAAAAAAAAACCAAACAAAACATATTAGGCATGTAAGCAAGGTGAAACTTCTGCTTTGTCCTCCATCAGAACAATCCCTGCCAATGGGCTGAGAACTTTCAGTTGTATGGCGTCATTAGCACCCATTCCCCAATTTTCTGCCCAAATTAGCCATTTCTGTGGCATTACAAGTTCCTGCCTGACTGTCCAGCTCCTCAAGGGCTAGATACAGTTCACAGTGTATGTTAACACTGCTTTTACAGTCACAACCTCTGGGTCACAGCTGAGTATATCAAAGTCACACTGGAGTCACTGACGGACAAAAGAGTGTTTTAAGCAGGAAATTCAACCTTGGAGTGTCAGCTGCTTCTTAAGGTTTCTTTAAGAAGCGAGGTGGAAGTTTCACTAATAGTCACCAGGAATCAGGTGGGGCTTTTCTAACTAGTTGATGCTGCAGATTAAAACTTCAAACAGATGTAGCTCCTTTACTGTCAAACTCCCGGGTTTAAAACCATGTAAAATTAAGGGAAAATGCCTGTTCCAGATGAAACCATAAACTCAGCACTCTATACGATTACACATTTACATTTTAATTTTTTATTCAAAGCAATAAAACCACAAGCATTTTTTAAAGGAAAAATATGAGTTTCAAAGCTGTAGAATATCCTAATATGTTATAAATTCACCTGAAGTCTGATAGTGCTTTAATAATTTGAGTGATTAGTGAGTGCCGAGGATCTGGAAGCTTATAGGCGCTTCAACACTGTTCTGTTTCCTAACCTCAATCCTAACCCCAAAAATGGTTTCCTGCACAGATAAATCCTCATTCTCCAATTGAAGTGGGGTTTTTTCATGTATTTTGTGTCCTTAGCAATATCATCAAACTATGTCTTCATAAGAAAGAATGAACACAGGCACCATGCATGCAATAGCACAACTTCGATAATGTTTTACTGATTCCAAGCATACAACACTGACATTTTCATAGAAACATAGACATTTTCACGTAAGCTAACCCTCCATAGTTGATGTGCTTCCAACACTCTGAAGCAATTAGTCTACTCAGTGCTTGCGAGGACACTTCCGGAACATTCTGTTCAGTTTTGAACTCCCAAGTTCACAAGAGGGATGATATGCTGGAGAAAGGGCAGTGGAAGGACACTAATTTGGCTAGGGAACTGGATCACAACCCATGAGGAGAAACAGAGAGTGATGCATTGTGTAAGAAGAGAATGCTGGGTGAAATTTAACTGCCATCTTAAATTATGTATTTGTTAGAGAGAAGACTTAAGTACACAGTGAAAGGACAGAAGGCAACAAGTCACAATCAAGGGAAATCCCAGCTGGGGATAAGAAAATATGTTTAGTGGGAGTGATTAGGCACTGGCACAAGTTCCCCTCAAAAGCTGTTGAATCTCCACCCTTAGAAATTTTTAAAACTTGCCTAAATAAGGAAGCAGTCCTATTCTGAGGGTATCCCTGCCTTGAGTGGATGTCTGGAGGTTTCTTCAACTTAATGTACTCAAAAAGGCAAAAGCATATCTCATTCCAGCTAACAGTAAGGTTCTGAAAGGACTGAGTGCGTTTCCAATATTTCTTTAGTGGCTTACCACATAAAGACATATTAAGTACTTTTATAAAATTGCTGAAACTACTCATCATATTTTAAGAATTTGCAGAATTGGGCCATTTACCTTATGTATTCTGTACTGATTTAAATGCATCTTTCTGAATTTTTCCAATTTAGAACTACACAATATCAAGCCCCTGCTACAATTTTTAAGGTAATACTATTTTTGAACACTTAAGCACTGCCCAGAGTCACTTTATACAACATAATATTTTAAAATATATGTATATATTGCACATTTAAAACCGTACGTCCACCTCAAAGTCTATAAAGTTAATAAAACATACACACACATGCGACACATGAAGAAAACCTTCCCTCAGATAGACATAGATCCTTATTTTGGCACAACTACATACAGGCCATAAACAAAACCTTACATAGCATACACAAAAGGCAGCTATATGAAGTGGAAAGAACTCCATCACTACTCAGTATGTTACATTAAAAAGACAGCTAAACAGGTATAATTGGTGCTTCCTCTCTAAAATAATTGCCTCAAGTTGTACACAGGTTATTTCAACTCCGAATCAGAGCCCATCTTTACATTAAAAAATGAATCAAAACAATCTGAAGAGAGAACAAGAGTTTCCCTCTCTGTAATTACAGTACTAAAGTATTTAGCAGAAAATTTAGCCATCTCTTCACTTCTATGGAGTAAGATGTCAGAAAGTTACTTGTCCATGTCAACGTTTCCTTCTTGTATACAAGAATGTTTACACACCATGTGCTTAGACACACACATATCTCCAACATTTTTTCTCAAGTATCTTTTAAAGGTCCAAGAGCTTCATTTGACAAAGCTAAGATGCAAAGGATCTTTCTTTCATACCAGTTTCACAAACTTTCACTACAAATGCAACTTCAGTCCATTACATACTGAATAGCTTCATCAAGATAAACCCAGGATAAAGCTCATTGTGCTTTGTTTTCTAGGTGTTTGGTTCATACAAATGAGAAGTCAACATTTTATGACTTTTTAAAGTTCACACATGTGTACAGTTGGTAGACGGTGGTGTATCTATTCGACTTCTATTTTCCTTGGCGTCATTCAGAGGTGACTCGTTGCCTATCTGGCATTTGAAGACTTGTTTGTAGGCCTTCCTAAAATTTTCAGAGAGAAATGCGTATATAATCGGGTTCACAGAAGAATTGCTGTAAGCCAGGCAGTGTGCTGTTACTCTGAAGAGAAAGGAGGCTTGAGTCAGTGGGAAAACTCCAAATTCAGCCCAGAGATGAATCACGTGATGCGGCAGCCAGGAGATGCCAAATACCACTACCACCACCAACACAGTCTGTGCTGTCTGAGACAGGGAAAGGAAAACACAGATGTCTGATGAGCACTTGAAGAATCCGCTTTAAACCTGCTTCAATACCATTACTGAGGGGCATGGAAAGATGCTGAGAAAGAACACACTGTGGACTATTTATTACTGATTTTACTCCATTGCCTATATGGGCTTTAGTCTGGATAGTGACTACTGCAAGAAGAACTTTAGCCCTGACAACGCCATAGTAAAAGGCATATATAGCTTTGCTTGAAAGTAAAAGAATTATGTACCTGATTCCCTAGACAAAAGCATAAGCTTGATGTAAAATAATGATAATATGGGTCTGTCATGGTTTAAAGCCAGTCAGGGAGCTTGTTCACTCACTGGGAAATCTCATCTAGATCTAATGATCTATATTTGAGTATGGTGCACAAGGATTTCTGACCATAATTGCAAGAGAGATCTATTATACATGAGGGCAGATAGTGATAGAGCTTAGAGCAGTCAGATGAACACTTTGCTCGTGACTGCAAAAAGAGAAGGCGCTTTTTGAAAGTCTCTCCTTTAAATGTAAAATTTTCACAGGGGGAATCATGCACCAACATTTTGGGGTGCACTGGGGAAAAAGAAAGAAAGAAAAGTAAGGAGCTTGAAATTTCACACATTGGTGATCATCAGTTGTCAAAACCAATCTGGAAATCAAAGCTCACTACCAAGCACCAAAATCTGAAAAAGGGAATACAAAATACTGTCAGTGCTTCCTCCTGACTCCACTCTCACTGCTTATGAGAGAGAGTCCCATCAAGTTCATTAGATCCATCCAGACAACTACACCATCAGTCAGCACAGATCTTTCAGGTGCTGAACGTATTTTGCCAGGGCACATTGGAGTTTGACTGTCAATTGTTTTCTTTAGCTTTCACTTATTTCAGAAACAGCAATTACTGCTTTGCAGTTGCTTAACTAATTAGTATCTACTCCTCTAACAAGTATCTCTTTCAACTGAATCACTCTCCCAGTAAAAGCCTACTATTAATTCCAAAAGCACATTATGGGCCATTATCATTACTATATTAAAAAGTTACAAAATCATTTTTTCAGGTAACCTAGGCTCTTCTCCACAGGCAAAAGTAAACCAGTAGCCAGAGTGATTAAGTACTGCAGCACACAGATTACCTAGTCTTTTTGTTATCTTATTGAACTTGGTCTTTATTTCCTAAATTGATCACATATAATAATTCAGACTAAGCTATCTAATCAGAACATGGCTAAATTTACACAAACTTACAGAAAAATATAAAGGCTGATTTCACTGGCAACAGGTCAAAGTAACTTACATTGCTGGCTAGTAAAATCTCACACCAGAAACAAAGGACATTGTATCTGTATTAAAATATAATTTATTTAGTCTCAAGGATTCATCTGTTTCCACAAGCCATTCACCTACTTAGCCCTGTGGAGTTTAAGTCAGTTGCCACTATCAGACAGCCACACACATATTATCTCTTTCAGGTCTCATCAGGAGAATATGTGCTAACAAGGAAGTACAAATTAAGAGCAATTCCTTCTCTGATCCTTTAAATGCATTAATATTCCAACTCAAAACATATTGCCTGGACACCATTTCCACAATTACTTCAAAAGAAGTATATTACTTCAGTGTGTTCAAAATTCAAAATATACCAGGAAAATCACCGACTTTCAAAAGACTATACAGATGCGCCTCAAAACAGAGGTTGACCATGTGCCTCTTGTAACTATTTAAGGTTTTTCAAATCTGCAGAATAAGCAATTTTGTATTAGGGAACCTCAAAACATCTGTTGTATCCCATTAGTCCTCCTAATCCTAACTTCAGAGGTTACCTTTCCAAAATCATCACTATGGCTTGCAACCAAAGTAACACTAAAGTGCACCTCTTGTCTGTCTAATGGGAGCTTCCTTAGGGTGTTTCATTAGTACATGAAAACCCACCCGAAATACATGATGTTAAATATTGATGCTTTGTGACCAAAAAGCATGACAAATAGCATTTAGGCACATTCATATTCTTCACTAACTTTTTTTCACACATATAGCACATTACTTTTAAGATTGTACTACTGAAATTTCCATAAAGTTTTGAATAACTCTATAAATGTATAATTAAGCCTGAAATGCATTTCTAACAAAACTGTAGAAGAAAAAGAAGATACAGGAACAAGAGAGAGCACACTAATGAAAACAGTTGCCTTAAAAAAGTATGAGTTAGGCTGTAGGTCGAAGGAGGTGATCCTGCCCCTCTACTCCGCTCTCATGAGACCTCACTTGGAGTATTGTGTACAGTTCTGGTGTCCTCAACATAAAAAGGGCATGGAACTACCAGAACAAGTCCAGAGGAGGGCCACAAGGATGGTCAGGCGACTGGAGCACCTCCCCTGTGAAGACAGGCTGAGAAAGCTGGGGCTGTTCAGCCTGGAGAAGAGAAGGCTGCGTGGAGACCTCATAGCAGCCTTCCAGTATCTGAAGGGGGCCCATAAGGATGCTGGGGAGGGACTCTTCATTAGGGACTGTAGTGACAGGACAAGGGGTAATGGGTTAAAACTTAAACAGGGGAAGTTTAGATTGGATATAAGAACGAAATTCTTTACTGTGAGGGTGGTGAGGCACTGGAATGAGTTGGCCAAGGAAGCTGTGAAATCTCCATCCCTGGTGGTGTTCAAGGCCCAGCTGGACAGAGCCTTAGGTGACACGGTTTAGTGTGAGGTGTCCCTGCCCATGGCAGGGGGGTTGGAACTAGATGATCTTAAGGTACTTTCCAACCCAAACCATTCTGTGATTCTGTGATTCTATGAAAAAGTATTTGCTATGGCAAAAAAAAGTTTGGGCTGCCCTTTATTTTTTTTCCCCTTTGGTTTCTGAACATTAATACGTCCAAGCAGTCTTGGCCATATACATAATGCTTTTTCCCTGAAGCTATGAAATGAGTTCCTAGCCAGACCTGATATTTACTTGCAATTTTTAAGAGTTAGTGTTTAGAGTAAATACAGAGATTATTTCCAGTTTGAGAATAATTTAGATGAGTGTAATAGAGATGGCAATGTGCAGAACACCTTTGAAAATGACCTTTTAGCCTTTATGACCTGAAGTGTAAAAGTATATATGTCAAGTATTTTACAGAATCAGGACCACAGTTGTTTTCATTCTAGGTATTAAAGTTTATTGACTAGGATATTTTTCAATAAAATAGGGAATGCATAAATAATAGATTACTTATTCCCTGTTGAGCCCATGTATATCTCATTTACATTGGAGACAGTCTGCATGCCCATATGGTAATAGTGATCAGATCAAATGAAAAGCTATAGCCTAAGGGTTTTTTCTGGCTCCGCATTCATAAACTGAGAAGTTAGTCAAACCATTACTTAGGTCAAATCTGATAAAAAATCAGAAATGTGTTATATTAACTGACAAATTCAATATATAAACACATCAAATATTGTTCTAAATCACAAAGCTTATATTCTGTTTTAAAGACCTTTCCCGATTCTACTTGTAACATTACATAACATGTCTTGAACATAGCAGAAAAAAATGTTTTGTGGAAAATCAACAGAATTGAAGAATTATTGAAACTCTGTTATTAGACTTCTATCACAAAGAACAATAAACCTCCTTTTAAAGTCTCATCATATAATTTAGTATTTTTTCCTAACAATTTAGTAATTCTTCATATCTGCTGGAGGGACGGTATGGCCTGGCAGAAGCAATCCAGGATGTTCCTCCATTGTGTGGAAGACAATTTCCTTCTGCAAGTAATAGAGGAGCCAACAAGGAGAGGTGCCATGCTTGGCCTCGTGCTCACCAACAGGGAAGGGCTGGTTGGAAATGTGGCACTCCAGGGCAGCCTTGGATGCAGTGACCACAAGATCGTTGAACTTGAGATCCTCAGGACACTAAGAAGAGTGTGCAGCAAGCTCACTGCCCTGGACTTCAAGATAGCAGACTTGGCCTCTTCAGGAACCTGCTTAGTAAGGCTCCATGGGATATAGCCCTAGAGGGCAGGGGCACCCAAGACTGTTGGTTGGTCTTCAAGGATCACCTGCTACAAGCTCAGGAGTATTGCATCCCAACTAGAAGGAAGTGCAGCAGGAGGCCCAGGAGACCTCCTTGGATGGATAAGGAGCTCCTGAGGAAAATACAAATGAAAAAAAGAGTCTTATAGAAAGTGGAAGCAAGGACAGGCGGCCTGGGAAGAGTACAGGGATGTTGTCCAGGAAGCTAAGGACCAGGTTAGGAAAGCTAAGGCCCAGTTAGAGATAAACTTGGCTAGGAATGTTAAAGATAACAGGAAGGGATTCTATAGGTATGTAGCGAATAAAAGACAGAATAGGAACAATGTAGGCCCCCTCCAGAGGCTCTCGGGAGAACTGGCTACACAGGATTTGAAGAAGACTGAGGTTCTGAATGACTTCTTTGACTTGGTCTTCACTGGCAAAGGCTCTGACCGCACCACTCAAGTCTTGGAAGGCAGACGCAGGGACTGTGAGAATGAAGACCTTGGGCCGACTGTAGGAGAGGATCTGGTTTGAGACCATCTTAAGTACCTGAACATACACAAGTCCATGGGACCTGATGAAATCCATCTGCGGGTCCTGAAGGAGCTGGTAAATGAGGTTGCTAAGCCAACATTCATCACATTTGAAAAGTCATGGCAGTCAGGCGAAGTTTCCGATGACTGGAAAAAGGGAAATATAACCCCCATCTTCAAGAAGGGGAAATTACAGACCAGTCAGTCTCACCTCTGTGCCTGGCAAAATCTTGGAGCAGATTCTCCTGGAAGGCATGCTAAAGCACATGAAAAACAACAAGGTGCTTGGTGACAGTCAGCATGGCTTCACTAAGGGGAAATCCTGCCTGACCAATTTGGTGGCCTTCTATGATGGGGCTACAGAACTGATGGACAGCGGTAAAGCAGTTGATGTCATCTACCTGGATTTGTGTAAAGCATTCGACACTGTCCCACATGACATTCTTCTCTCTAAATTGGGGAGACATCAATTTGATGAATGTACCACTCGGTGGATAAAGAACTGGCTGGATGGCTGTACACAGAGAGTTGTGGTCAATGGCTCAATGTCCAGCTGGAGACCAGTAACGAGTGGTGTCCCTCAGGGATCGGTGTTGGGATCGGTCCTGTTTAACATCTTCATCGCTGACATGGACAGTGGGATTGAGTGCGCCCTCAGCAAGTTTGCCGATGACACCAAGCTGTGTGGCTCGGTTGATACGCTGGAGGGAAGGAATGCCATCCAGAGGGACCTTGACACGCTTGTGAGGTGGGCTGATGCCAACCTCATGAAGCTTAACCATGCCAAATGCAAGGTCCTACACCTGGGTCGGAGCAATCCCAGGCACAGCTACAGGTTGGGCAGAGAAGAGATTCAGAGCAGCCCTGTGGAGAAGGACTTGGGGGTGCTGGTTGATGAGAAAATGAACATGAGCCAGCTGCAGTGTGTGTTTTCATCCCAGAAAGCCAACCGTATCTTGGGCTGCATCAAAAGGAGTGTGACCAGCAGGTCAAAGGAGGTGATCATGCCCCTCTACTCCGCTCTCATGAGACCTCACTTGGAGTATTGTGTGTAGTTCTGGTGTCCTCAACATAAAAAGGGCATGGAACTACCGGAACAAGTCCAGAGGAGGGCCACAAGGATGGTCAGGCGACTGGAGCACCTCCCCTGTGAAGACAGGCTGAGAAAGCTGGGGCTGTTCAGCCTGGAGAAGAGAAGGCTGCGTGGAGACCTCATAGCAGCCTTCCAGTATCTGAAGGGGGCCTATAAGGATGCTGGGGAGGGACTCTTCATTAGGGAATGTAGTGACAGGACAAGGGGTAATGGGTTAAAACTTAAAGGAAGTTTGGATTAGATATAAGGAAGAAGTTCTTTCCTGTTAGGGTGGTGAGGTACTGCAATGGGTTGCCCAGGGAAGTTGTGAATGCTCCATCCCTGGAGGTTTTCAAGGCCAGGTTGGACAGAGCCTTGGGTGACATGGTTTAGTGTGAGGTGTCCCTGCCCATGGCAGGGGGGTTGGAACTAGATGATCTTAAGGTGCTTTCCAACAGTAACTATTCTATGATTCTATGATTCATAAATGATTCAACTAGTTCAAAAAATAATTAAAAAAAAAAAAGAAAATATTTACAAGTTAGGGGAAAATGCCTGTGAGGCAAAAAAAAACCCAATCCAATTTAGTATCAGAGACAGGTTGTCTATCCAAGTGTAAATTTCAGATGCTCTGATGTTCAGAATATGAAATCTTAGGCAATGGCTTAATGCACTCAGATGGAAAACTCAGATCAGAAAATATTCCAATCCTGTTAAATTCAGAGAGACACTGAATACATCGTTAAATACTTCAATTCCTTCTCTCCATTACATCTTTGCAACAAGCAATATGATACTAAATTAGCTTAGCCATAAACCAAACTATAAACAAATACATAATGGTAATGAAAGCAATCTACCTTTTTCTTGGATGCTTCTGACTTCTTTGACATGTTTCTCAACTTCTTATGCAGATGATTAAGAACCTGAAAAGATTAATTTGTATCTTATATTACAGCGCTTTCTAAATTCAAACCCATGTATTTTAGGGTAGGCTCTCCAGTACTGATGAGTTGCTTACCAACATCTCTGATTTAATTTATACATTTCAAAAGTGCAGAATACAAAATTCAAAGGAATTAAGTATCTCCATCTGTGGAAATCAACAAATATGAAGCAGGCAACAACTGAATTATTCTATAAAAATTCAGATACGCTACATAACAAATATATATCACAAATGAACAGGGCAACGAATGGAAACCTATCATACACCTAGAATTAACAATCATTCTTCCATGAAAATGTCAATGCTTGTTAATTTAGAATGACCTTTACTGCATGTAACATAAAAGTGTATGTTTTTAGCCAGAGCTTTTCTGAGTCACCTGCATAATTTGCTTTCTTCAGATGGACGTTTGGTTAATATAATCAGGACGTTGGTGCTATTTGATCTTTGAAAGAAGCTTAGGCTTTCAGAAATAATTTCTACTAAAATGTATCTCAAATGAGGCATAACCTTTATCAAGAATTTGGTGATACTTGTCATGCACCTTTCACAAGTAATTTTTTTTCAGTATGTCTCCAAAAGGCTCATCATCCAAGAGCAGGGTCCAAATTTTAACATAATGATTTATATGTAATATTTTGGATAGTGGTCATCTAGAGGTGCACACCCTAATTCACCTGCAACCATTATTAAACGAATCTAATATATTCATATAGCGTGATTTGTAGGTATGGGGGGCAGGGAATATCTCTTCAGCTGAACGTGTTTAACAAGTTGTAAACCATACAGAATTGAATAAAAAGAGAGAGATGCTGAATTAAACTCGAGATTTTAATTAAAATCAGAGGAATAGAAAGAGTGCTGAGGTGTAGAGCTCAGTTAGATGATGATGATGTTAGGTTGCACCTGACATAGCTTTAAGATGAACTGAGAACAATCTAATAGGTAAGATCATCCAACATTAGAAGGAATTTTTTAAGGAACTTTAGGGCTTATAAAGAGACTTCTTGAGGCGGGGAAAAGTGTACAGATTCAAATTGTCTTACATTATCCGGGGATATTTTCCCTGTTTTCTTTAGAATGCACAGCTAACCACTACCAGGATAGACACTAGACAAGATGATCTACAGACCTGAACTCACTCCAGATTTGAATCTTAGAAACTTACATAATGAATTAAAAGAAATGACAGTTATTTGTGAATAACCATAATCAGTGGATTCCACTGTTCAAGTATCTACTCTTAGTTACCAGTGAACAATAAAACAACAGAAACCAGGAACAATAATAAAAAAAAAAATTACTTGTAACCACTTAACATTGGAAGTGCAGTTCATTTGTGCTTACCTGTGCACTAACATGTTTGTGTGTGAATGACTTAGCCCTTCAGGTACTCCCTATTCTGAAACACTGGCCAAGCTGCTATCAAGACTGACCTGAGTTCAGGAAAGGCAGAAAAAAAATAAAATGGGTTTTCTCTGGGAAAAGCCTGTTTTAGCTGCAGCCTTTCTTCTCCAGGACCAGATGAGAAAGAAAGGATGTAAGAGCCCCTGAGGTCCAGCAGAAGACCAGGGAGATGACCCACTAGCTCACACACTCTTTATTCACCTGCTGTCACTGTGTACTGGTTAGTTCATGGGTGAAATATGTAAAACATAAAAGAGCATGGGAGAAATACAGTGAAGTTCACTTCCCATCACTGCCACTTGGCATAACTTACAATGATGTGCTGCTTCTACTGGGCCTCTGCGAATCCAATATCCTGCCATGAACAAAATGGATTGTACTGTAGTGTGATTTTCCCTCACAGCCGAAAACTAAAGTCAGATAAACACTTCCCAGAAGTCAAAACTGCAAAATCTTCTCTCACAATCACAAATATTTTTATCTTTTGTTCCGAAATTTTTAGCACACATCTTTGCATTGTATCTCTCTGCAGTCCAAACAAAGATGCAGTAGATGAAGTTGTTAAACTGGGTATCTGAGGGGGGGAGGGGGTGCCTACTGAAGATTTAGAGGATAACCTTCCAATGAATCTTTCTCAATTTCACCCCCTTCAGATTGTATACATATTTCTCTCCAGTGAAAACATGCTGGCTCTACATGATGGTGTACCAGATGGTATGCAAACCAGCAGGAAGAGAAATAGCACAATTTAATTACCTATCAACAACAGTCAAACAGCACTCAGAGACCTACACAGAACCCTGTGGAGGGATATTAAGAGCCATGTTTATGCACAAACACTACAAGGGAAATCAAAGACACCTCACTGTCCTTTTCAAATTACCTCTTCTCTGGGCCAATGAATAATCAACTGTATCTCTAACAGCTACTGTCACTTCACCTGAATGAGCAAGTATTCTACAAGTGCCTCTTAATTTGCCTCAGGTTGTTTCTCTAAAGAAAGTATTTCAAGATATCCACTACTACATTTGCATGTGCATTTTTAATTCATGTAATGAAATACACACCTTGCTGAACAACAGGTCACAACCTGTTCTCAGCAACCTTGTATTTGCCAAAAACTCAGCTCTGTGGAAAAATTCACCCTTTATGTGAAACTTTTCTAACTCCAGCTTTCATGTACCTGTTGATCGCAGATCTTATCTGGCTCTTGGGGAAGGAATAGCTTTCCTATTTTCTGCAGATGAGAGTGGGGTGCTGTGGGAAGAAAGTTATCCTGATGTGAAAGAGGGTGTACGATTTTCAGGATCACAGAAGCATACGATGTTTCAGTCTGGTCCAGACTGTAATACACAACTATGACCAAATCAAGTTGAGAGAAGGATTTTTCCAATACAGGAGAGAGAAAAAATAGATTTTTATCAGTGCCTATTCGTGTAAATCTGCCAAATACTGTAGAAGTCTGAAGTCTACACTGTGGCAAAGTGTATTTCCTGTCTGTCTGGATGTAATTCTAATGACTACACCTTCATTATCAGCCATTGAAAATCATGTAGCTGGAAAGCCTGCCCAAGGTCATTATCTAATAAGAATGAACTGCTTTTTTAAGAGAGCCATAATGTCAGCATTACCTTCTGAACAATATTTTACAGTATGAACCTGATTTAAATTCAAGTGTCACTGCCTGCAATCCATTCTTGAAAGCAATGCTTCTATTGTCACAACAGATCCTTCACCCTCTTTCATTTAACAGTACTGCTAATGTGGTTTAGTAAAGTTTTCCCTCATTGCTCAGCAAAATTTAAAATAAAATATCTTAAGCCAAAAACCATGTAAGTTTGTATTTTATGTTGAGGCTCCTACTTTTTACAACTTACTTTTAACCAAGCCTATAAATCTTCATAACCAGGTATTCAAAAGCAGAAGTACTCAAAATCAGTTGCCACATTGTACTACCCTGGCAGATGCCAATTGTTAGAATCTCACTGGGAAGCATTTATCACTTTGTCCTTTGCGACCACGTCAGTGAGCAAATGTAGCAGTGTTATAAAACACATGCAAAAAGTCAGTATTAAGAAAATACGTCACTGTAACTCAGCTAATAACTACATAATCACTGCTCCTCTGGGCAGAGTAGTCAGTTCCTTTCAAGAGTAGTTCTGTGAGCCAACAAAAGCTGGTCTGCTATGGATGTGTGATCTCTTGACTGTGTGCTCCCAGGAAGGTGTGTGTCTTCCATGAGCAGATGCTACATCAGACCTCTTCCCCCTATGATGTTTAACATCATGTCTGATGTTTAACAGCTGAGTGCAAACTGACTCTCCTTAAAGGAAAGAGGATGATGCAGACTTTCCACCTTCTTCACTGACTCCTGTTTTCACAAAACTAAGAAAATATCATTCTTTCTGATATTTTCACTCCCCTGCCAAATTTGGTTGAAATTCAACAAAAGTTATTTGTGGGAGACAGGAAATGGATAGCTGTACACACAGGACACAGCACGATCTCATAAATCTCTGCTTTAAGAGCATGTCATGTGAGATTTCCATTTCTGATTTTATGGGGGAATGCTGTTTCCAAATATCTAGCACTATGTCAGCACTTCCGTAGGCTCTAACAGTATTGTTATCCACTGGGGAAAACACAAATCTCTCCTAACATAATTTAATAGAGATTGAGAGAAAGAACTCAGCTCCATATTAGAGTGCCTAAAGAATGAGACTTTCAAAACTGAAAGTTCAATTGCAATTTCCTTATAAAAGAAACAGAACTGACTTAAAGGAGTCTGAAAAAGGCAATATATTCAAATAGAGAAATGAGTTTCCTTTGTCTTAATCTAGTGTGCCAGAATATTGCATCATTTAGTTAATCCACAGTTCATGAAAACCAGTGAAGTCCATTAGAAACTAATGCATTTATTTCTATAATACTTCTAAGGCTATTACACAGCAGTAACCCTGCATGCATTCAGAAGCCCAAATACTTGCACTTCACAGTACTTCAGTGACATCAGCAAGAGGCTGCAGTGACCACTTTGCTTGAGACCTGTGAGTGTAGTAATGGCTTTGACAAATTGAAAACTTCAGCTCCAATTTTCAATTGACAATCCTTAATTTCCCCTGACCTTGCCCCATGTGCCAAAACACTCTAGTTGGAGATTTGCCAGTGGCTCCTAGTGAGGACAGGAATGAGTATTTGTGCCGCAGGGTACAATACCTTCAACAGCCATGCACAAGTCATGGCATTTTTGAGCTTCATTGACACTGATGAGAACACCAGATATCTTCTATGTATCTCCTAAAACTCATCCCCTACGGGTTGGATCTTCCAGCCTGACAGAGGCTCAAAACACATCACCAAGCAAGGGCAAGATCCTAGCTTGGCAATAACTTAAACACAAGATTTTAACTGTAACTTTTAGCAGCGTTGATTTTATGAACTTGTTCTGGGCATGTATTCCACAGAGTCGCTTTGTTGGTGTGGGGTTTTGTGGGGTTTTTGTTTTGTTTTGTATTCACACCAATATTAAGTGATCTACTGCTGTAGTGGTGCTTTGTAACAAGATGGTGTGTTATGTTTACTATGCCTGTATCGTGTTTATGTCTATTTCAGTTTTTCCCCCTTATACTATTCAGGACTGTTATAATTTTGAAAGGCTAGTTTTCGATCTCCTGTAATATAATTAGACTTTGAAGGCTGGCACTTTATGTTGAAACTGAAGATGCTTTGGCTTTGAAGAATATAATAATTCTTAATAGAGTAAAAACTCCATTTGGCCACGTTCCATAGCATTTTCCCTGAAATAGGTGATCTTTTCTTAAAACTGATAATCTGTGGCTACAGCAAGTTTCATCCCTCTCACAGCTCAGTCATATTCAGCACTGTAGATGAAGCATCAGTGTATTCACCCAGGGAAAACAGAACTCAAGTTTATGTTTGAAAGCATGTATTTCTTCTCCATTTACCAAGTCAGACTTTTTCATTACAAATAGTAATTAAGAAATGTTGTTCTTTGAGTTCTGCATAACTTGGTTTTAGCACAGTTGTATGCCACTCTAGCCTTAATTTGCACATCACAATAAAGCTGATGTAGATAGAAATATAAATATGAATATTAAATATTTACATGAAATGCATATCAAACTGAACATCAAATTCTTTGTTTAAATTACATCTATTTAACTTGTCAAATAACTGACTTTTCAACACTTCAGCAGTCTTTAATTGCAAGAGCAGACCTGTCCTCTCAAATGTAACTTACTGCCTCAAGAGGAATCCTGCTCCTGAAGGCTGCTGGCACAGCAACAGGAGGATGTTTGCCTAACCCAGCAGAGAGCAGCTGTAGCTCCAGCTCCTGTGCAGCAGAAAGCAGTGGACCGTATGCTGAAGGCTGCAATTAATATTCACAGAAAACTACAACAGTTTGTCGGAGCAGAAAAGTCCTTAGGCACCCTTACTTAATGCATTGCTTCAGAGCATCACCTTGCCCTTGCTGAAGTCAGAGGCAAGTCTCACATGCACTTCAACTGGGACAATGCAGGGCTCACAGGAACCAGGCAGTGGGATTCACCTTTTGCTCTGAACACGTCCACTGGATCAGACCCAGTGTTGGATTTGTGTCATTTTTAAGTGCACTGCATTTTAAGGAACTGCAGTGCTTCATCTGAAGCCTGAACAACTTGTTGCTCTGTTGTACTTTATCTGAGTTAAACTCATACGGCACAGCAAGAAAATAGGAGTGCTGTGTTGACACAGAAAGCAGCACAGCGCTGCAGCTTCTCAGAGGTTTACAACAAGGGTGTCTGTTAGAGGGACCCCAGTAATTGCCAGAACACCCCCCCTCCTAGTCCTGCGCAATCCCTGTCCTGAGATGTCTGTGCCATACATATGTACCCCCCTGCTCCAGTCATCCCTCAGCTGTAAAACCTACCCTCTCCCTTTGCACCACAGACTCACCTTTGCCCTGCCACCTCCCAACAGTGCCACGTCCCTCCATGTGACCCGAGATGGCCCCACAGCTCATGGACACCCACCACCATCGTGTGGGGCCCCCCCTCACCCCCCTTTCCTTTTACATACCCTTCACCTCTACCTGCTTTGCCCCACCTTGGCATAACAGAAGGAGATGAGCAGCAGCGGGAGCAGATATCCGAAGACAAACATGCAAACTACATAGACCTTCTTGTAGCGCGGGTTGGGCCACTGCTCCCAGCAAAAGGTCTGGTTGGAGGCCTCACGGTGGAAGAGGCGCTGGTAGTGAGCCACAGGTGAGGCCATGGCGAAGGAGAGCACCCAGATGAGCCCCACACCCAGCAGTGCGTTGCGGGAAACACGCAAGGCTGAGGAGCGTCGGGAGTGCACAATGGCCACGTAGCGGTCCACTGACATGGCCGAGAGCGTGAAGATGCTCACCAGCATGGAGACGGTGAAGAAGTAGTGGATGAACTTGCAGACGAAGGCACCCAGCACCCAGGTAGGGAGCACATAGACTGTGGACTGGAAGGGGATGCAGAACAGCAGGTAGGCCAGGTCAGCGATACTCAGGTTGAGGATGAAGATGTTGGTAGTGCTGCGGCGTTTGCCTGGCTTGCTCCTTGCCAACACCGTGATCACCAGCGAGTTGCCCAGCACCCCCATGGCGAAGATCAACACAAAGACGATCAAGGTGATGAAGTTCTCGATGCCGATGCCGAAGAAGGGCTTCCCCTCTGTCACTGGCAGCCCGGAGAGGTTGAACTCCCCGCGGGGAGGCTCTGCCTCATCTCGGGACCAATTGAGGGGGGACGCCACGGCCTCCGCCAGCTCCATCCTCCCCCTTCCAAGCCGGCCAAAGTTTCCGCGGGGGAATAAAGGGGGCTGCCGCTTCCCGGCACCCCGCCCGCGGCCAGCCAGGGGAGGCGGCCCCCCACCAGGGCCGGGAGGTGCCGGGGAGGAAAAGAGGGAGAGAGAAAGGCAGGGAATGGGGAGGGAGGGAGGGAAGGCGGCGGGTGCAGCCGGGCAGGATGCCCCGCGGCTCACAGGGGTGCAGCCTTGCGCCGCTGGGCGCAGAAGAAGCGCCGCAGCCCCGTTGCCCCTGGCAGGCAGCGGGCTCTGTGCACCGCCCGGCTGGCCGCCGAACCCCCAGCCCCCTCGAGAGCTCCCTCCGCCAGGGGCGGCGCTCCGCCCGCGGCCGCGCAACTCCCGCTGCTCCCTCCCTTCGGAGCGGCCGAGCCTCGTCTCTCGCGGCCGCCTCTTACGCCAGGAGACTGAGAGCCCCGGGGGCGTCTCCTTGGGGAAAGGAGGGCTGGGGGATTTTTTCCTCGCCTTCTTTTTCCGCCCTCCTTCCCCCTTTCTCCTCGGTTTATCTTGCAATTGCTCCGCCGGGCTGCCCACCGGCGCGACAGCCGGAGCCCGGGCAGAGAGCAGAGCGGCGTGGAGCGGGAGCGGAGCGGAGCCGAGCAGCCCTGGCCCCGGTCCTCACCTCAAAAAACTTCCATATGCTTTTTGCCTAGGGAGGCTCAGAAGTTGCGGCTTCCAGCACGGCCGGAGTGGCGCTAGGCAGGTCCAGCTCGGCTTAAATGAACTCTCCTGGAGAGACAGGAATAGTTAAACGCCTGCTTAAACCCACCTCAACAGGTAGCCGGCAGCAAGAGTGAGTCCAGACTAAGCACCGCCTACGCTGACTGTTTTCATCCCTTCACAGGTTTCTATTACTCGTTCCGCGCAGAGCAGAAGCACACAAGACAAAAGGTGGCAGACGTTGTTACTAACTCCAGAAAAAGAAAAAAGCAGAAAAGAAAGCCTGGCCGCTTGTCAGGCTCCGGTTATAAAGGCCGTGCTCCCAAACCCTACCACCCACCTCCATCGCCACGGAGGCAGTTCTTACCGGTGCTGGAATGAGAGTTTCTGAAAAGCTATCTTTGCAGGACTGCGTGAAATAGAAAAGTTCCTATAGCATATGCTTGCGAGAGCCTGCAAATTTTCACACAGGTACATGGACCTTCTGAATTAAACAAGTTTGCCCGAGGTTTCTTAACCATTTATTTCAGTTGCCAGTAGGTGAGCTACCAGTGGTTATGTTACATTTTGTCTTTTCTCTAGGGATCTTGAGATCTCTACCTGAAATGCTGCATTTATTCTCATAGCTCATGCCTCTGTTTTCTTACAAAATACTGTCTTTTCAACATCATAACCTTAATAGTGACCGAAGAATAGCAGACTGTTTTAGAGACAAGTGGGCAGGAAAAGTAGGTACAAAACCTAAATCGGTTTTAAGGAAAAGCAACTTGAAGATCACATTTGTGATCTGGATGGGAGCCTTGGCTCTATTAATTTTGTTTAGATATTTAGATGGTTTTGCAGTTCAAGCTTTTCTTTTCTGGTATGTATGTATTGGAAAGTATAGAGTTCTTATAAGACTGCCCCTGAGCATTAGAGATAAAAAACAGAATGCAACTATATTGCAGCTTTTCTACCAGGCCTACAGGCTTCAGCTTTTGCGTCAGTAAAGGAAAATTCCCACATGGACAGCACTCATGATTCCTGTGAAGATTGCTGTGAGCAAACAGGTGTTGACTTGTTATCTAGACTGAGTAAAATCTTTGTGCAATAGAAAGTTCCAGTGGAAAAGTTGTTATGAATTCAGTGCAAATAATTATATAATTAGAAACATTAATTACTTGAAAAAGTATGAGGAAAAAAATCAGTAAAAAAGAAAAAGATATTTATCTCTTAAGCATGTGCCTCACACATTCCTTGACTCTAGTTTTATTGAGTCTATTCCCAAACATCTTTTCACATGAAAAGATCTACTTTTGTCAAAACTAAAATAGCCTATGATCTTCAGGAAGAGCGAGAAGTTTGAAGTTTGAAGCCAACCATATCCTGGGCTGCATCAAAAGGAGCGTGACCAGCAGGTCGAAGGAGGTGATCCTGCCCTTTTATTCTGCTCTTGTGACACCTCACTTGGAGTATTGTGTGCAGTTCTGGTGTCCTCAACATAAAAAGGACATGGATCTGTTGGAACAAGTCCAGAGGAGGGCCACAAGAATGATCAGGGGACTGGAGCACCTCCCGTATGAAGATAGGCTGAGAAAGTTGGGGCTGTTCAGCCTGGAGAAGAGAAGGCTGCGTGGAGACCTCATAGCAGCCTTCCAGTATCTGAAGGGGGCCTATAGGGATGCTGAGGATGGACTCTTCATTAGGGACTGTAGTGATAGGACAAGGGGTAATGGGTTAAAACTTAAGCAGGTGAAGTTTAGACTGGATATAAGGAGGAAATTCTTTCCTGTTAGGGTGGTGAGGCACTGGAATAGGTTGTCCAGGGAGGTTGTGAATGTTCCATCCCTGGCAGTGTTCAAGGCTAGGTTGGACGAGGCCTTGGGTAATATGGTTTAGAGCAAGGTGTCCCTGTCCATGGCAGGGGGGTTGGAGCTTGATGATCTTAAGGTCCTTTCCAACCCTAACTATTCTATGATTCTATGATTCTAAGTTAAATGCAATCTTCTGTCTGTGGGCAGGTTCCACAGTTGTCTTTATCAGATGTTATTACCCCCAACAAAGTATTTTGCCTACATAATTTTCCATAACGAACAATAGGAAAATAGAAAAGACCTATAAAGGAGAAGCGAAGTACCCTCTCTAGTCTAGACCTACATGTTTACTCCTCAGTAGCTTAATCTGGAAGATATTGCTGAGAAAAAACTTTACAAGGATGTCCTTGCTTCTGCTTACTTCGATGGTCACAAACCTTTTTTTTTTTTATGAGGTTCTAATACTGAGAATAATTGACTTAGAGTGGTACATTTTTCTTTCAGGAAAGAGAAATCATTTAACAATACAACAAATTGATTTAAAATATTCATTACTATTAAAGTTTGTGACTATGTAACATACAGAACAAACATAGTCAAAATACTGTCAGTAAAATGCATTTGTATTTTAAAATGAGCATGTATTTAGCACCTCAAAAACAATAAACAAACTGTGCATCATTACGGATTTCCTCCACTTTTTAGCTACAGTCTCACTTTTCATTTTTAGGATAGCCTGAATAGTTGAGGCACAAAAATCAGAGGCGACTTATACAAACGTACATAGGTGTATGTCTGTACACACTGTATCATTCTACAGAAATTAAATGTGTATAATAGGACATACAACTTCTTCAAAGGTGTGTTTCAGTATTCCTGTAGTGAAGATCAAGCTGGAGTTGAGGTTCAAGCCTCTCAAATGTACCCAGTGTCAGTACAGAGAAACAATTTAAAGTGTACTTATATTAAAGCATATTAGTAGCCCTGAACATTTTAGAAATCAGTTTTCTTTGCTGCAAAAATATTCTCCAGTTTTGATCATGTTTTGTTTATAAAACGTGAGGCTGCAAATAGGCTTATTTTGAAGACTGATTCTTTTTATTTGTGAAAGATCAGACACAATAGTCACATCAACCATACCCCATTATTTTTTTTTATGACAAGTTCCTTGAATAGAAATTTACATTATAAAGGCAGATGTGAACTTCAAATCTCATTGAAAAGCTGAATAAACCCACTTTTTATTCACCTTCTATAAAATTATTAGTATGGAAAAGTCAAGTACCTATAAGCATTAATCCCCCCTTCTATCTATATTCTTGGGAATAAGGTAACCCTGAGGTCACAGTTGTCACTACATTCAGATTTCTGTAGCAGAGAATTGTCACTAAGAAACTTAAGCTTACTGCTACTTGCTGACATTTAGAAAGAACATCTGCCCCTGTTCATTTGAGAGCCATTGTCATTCCATCACAGTTTATGTTGACTATTTTTCTCCTAGATCTCTATTCCAGTTCTTAGAAATAAGTTCTAAAATAGCCTTTAAAGGGCAGGCAGTCAAAAGCAGAGAAATAATTCGAAGCTATAGTTTCCAAAATCCCATCAGTACTTCATATTACAATTAAGTGCTTTAAATTAGTATTCTAATAATATGACTTAGAAATTCTATATGAAAGCATGTATCCGTACTCTATTCAATGCCCATCAATCTCAGTAAAAATGACAAAAGCTAATAACCATGGCCTAGCAACATGCTCTTGCCTTAAAGTTGAAAAGGATTGCTTGGTTTGCTTTCCTTGTTTTGTGACACTTACCCCATGGGATGCTTTTAAATGTTGACTGCAAAAGCCTCTTGCCTGTGCATAAAGACACAGCTGTGTTTGATTTAAACCAGAGAGCATCCATACCTGATCTTCCTTGACATAACAGAATCAAGAGTACTTTGATGAATGCTTGTAATACAATACAGCACAATAGAGCAGGTCTTATAGAACTCAGGAGAGTGCAGTGGGCATCCAGGTCATGGGCACAGCTCCTGTAGAAGTCATTTAAATGAACACTTAGTCTACCTTCAAGCAGCCTCATAAAATGGGTATCTGACTGGTTTGAGGTAGTAGAGCAAGAATAGAAAGGGTTAAGTCCTGTAAAACAATCTTTATGTTTCTATATAGGAAAAAATTAAATGCAAGCTAGAGAACATACCTCAGACGTGGGAAACATCAAAGTTACCTATGCTGGAGGAGATCACAGTAAAAAGAGGTAACTTGGAAAGCACGACTGCTGCCAAAGCAGGTGTTCACTGCTGGTAAAGCAGCCAGGGGGAGTTTGCAGGTTGCTTTGGCTGGGGTCAGCTCCAGGCTGAAATAAGAAAGCAGTTGCCAAAGGGTGTGAACATGCTGATGGAAGTAAATAGGCTGGGGCTACACTGCATAGCTTTAGACACCTTGGTCACCAGGGCAGTTCTTTGGACAAAGAAAGCAGGTGGGTAGGAGGACAGCAGCCAGCAGAGGATAGATGGGGCGAGCTTCCCAGCAGTGACTGGTGCTGCTCCTCTCCTCTCCATCCTGGTGACAGCAACTTCAATGACAGCATCCAGGTGGATCAGCAACTTTGGCTTTCTCAGGCTTTCCATAGCTGCTTAGAAAGGGCTTCTTTGTCAGCAACATCCTGGATTTGGTTTGAC